ACTCTGATTGGCTGCTGCCGAGCCGCAGCTTCCTGCTTTTCGAGTCTCTCTGCAATTGCAGCGCCTTCCTGGCGAGGGGTCCTCGAGGCGTCTGCAGGCATACCGCACGAAGACCTGCGCCAGGCATGGGCCATTCCATTCTGCAGGTCCCAAGGACATGCCAAATTAACTGGCGACTTACTGTATTATTACATTATTGCAGTCAGGGTGACTCATCCGCTGGCAGGGCCGTGGTCTACTGCTTCCGTTCCGGGTGATTGTGGATTATCTGCCAGAATGCTCTTTCCCTTTTTGCGACCCCGACCTTACAGGCCCTGCACACAATATTCAGTTCTCTGGCCGCCCCACCCGCGATTATGAAGAATTCAACCTAGATTCTGGTCACCACACAGTAGCTGGAGACTCATCGTTCTTCTATCCCAGGTGTAGCAGCCTAGCAGGGTTGCAATGAATACGGAGGACCTTGGTCCCTGTCCGAGTGATGATCTAGATCGTGAGACTAGATGAAACTATGACCTACCAGTTCACCACGTTTCAGTCATGGCCCCCCGCCAAATCGAAACGCCTGTCATGATCGAACTAAGCCACCCCAGCTTGCGTGCTGAACTGGAGAAAGGATTCTGCCAACTTGCAAGGATCGACTTTTCAGACGTGACCACTGACCACCCGCACGGTCCCGTGCTGTGCCCGGCCATGCCCTGCTCTGCCCTGCCCTGCCACCGGGGCCAGGCGCACCACGAGTTCCCAGGGAATTGGCAAATGATAGTACGGGATCAGCATATACTACTCGACATATTTTCTGGCCAGTCTCTCATCCTGGCCTGCCACATTGCGAAACTTCCCGGCCTGCTCCGAATTCTATATAATTTTATAATCTCTCTTGCGTCATACTTAATTCTAGCCGCAGTGCAAATTGAGTTCGGAATGCTCTTACTGTGTTAGGGTTAAACATTGATCATGGGCACCGGGCAATCCTCTCCCGTTTAACCTTCTTGTCCGAACGGTCACTTTCCGTTACTGGAGTTCTATACTCCTTTTGTTCTGGTTGTTGTCAAAGGGCGCGGCAGGATTTTCCCGTACGAGCCAAGTTCCGACTGCCAAGTTCAACCAACAATTTGACAGTTAGTGTTCGATACAAACGATAGGAACGGACTCTCGCCCCAACTCCGAGCAGGGCTAAAAAATCTTTAACGTCACGAGAACCGTCCTTTTTTTTGGGCTGAATTGGACAGGCTAAATTGACAGCGAATCCTTCCCGTTTTACCCGCGTTGCCCAACTGCATCCATGGATAGCTGTCTTATCGCAATCTTGGCAATCTCGCTTAAAGATTGCACCAAGCTAGGACTGACGGCCTGACTAGCTTGACAACCAGGGTGTACAGCTCAATTTCACAATGCCAATCGAGGTTTGTAAATTAGGTATGGAGGTCATGTCTCAGGCCTTACTTCATCCACAATTAAAAACTTCAGTAACGAAGACCCCTCTGCTGCACATCTCTGGTGCTCGATCCTTCAATTGAAATACGAATTCAATCTATTCAGGGAGAAAAAGGACGCAATTTGGCTTATTGTTGTTCCATCACAGCAGCAGGGCTATACCACTTCTGTACTTACACGGCATGTGAGAGAGTGCTCCAAGACCTTCAAGTAACATGTCATTACTTCCATACATTTGCCATGATAGGCCAGTGTCTGTACTTGAAAGAACCCAGCCCAAGCGAAAATAACGTCGAAGGTTGATAAAGCCAATTCGCTGCTGGATAAGTGCCGGAAAACGATGATCACAAGTCTGCTCACTGGCTCCATGGGCTGAGCAGTATTCCATTTCAATCCATCCTATTGTCTGATATCTTGAAATGCAGTCTCGTCCATTATATACTGAGCGATGCTATTGTTACTTGGTTGACTGTGCTAACATAAGTGATATATGGAAGAAAGCCTATTTAGATCTTCGAATAGTAGCTCTTCACACCAGCTTCACTTGGATTCGTTCGAATTGACCTGATATGGCGTCACGGCTATTCTATATTGTTCTAGCCGGTAGCATTCTCTACCTGATATCTTCAGTCCATTGGAATCCAACTTCGGTAGTTTGACATGATACTGTTCTCTATATTGTCAGCTACTAGTCTATCGAAGACCACTCTCTTGCCAGATGAACCTTCCCAACCTGGTCAGTCGGTGACAACCACACTGACCAAATTGGGAGGAACTTGTCTGTCATTATCTCCTTCCTAAGACGGCCTTCCAACACATCTTCTGGCCACAACTTGCCTTTGCTGCATGTGTCAATATGATATCTGCATTTATCTTGACCACTACATGATAGGCAGCGGATTTCTCACTATTATTTCCTTACTGTTGAACGCATGATGGATACTGCATCTCCTTTATCGTCATCGTTAACCAGGCCTTCCCTTGTAACTTTGCCAGTTGAATGTAGGCAAGCTATCTTAACCTACTTGCCTGATGTTTCATCGCTGGGGTCTACCATTCTCTCTCATTCATCGCTCTATACAGCTTTTCTTGGCTACAAAGATTTCATTATAAAATGCGTCTTATATACCCTTGTCTCTTCGGACTTGCTTGCAGAAGCTTGTCTCGTGCTCGAGTTGTCCCAAGTCAAGATCCGGACCAGAGAGCAAGTGCTCGACGCTCTGGCACGCTATCGCCGCCGCTATGTTCCTCTCGAATGGACACTCAAAGACGCCTTCTTCATCGAGCGTCTCCACCGCAGCATTGACTACTTTACGAGAGACTTTGCACGGACAGCCTTGTCGCAACACCCACTGACAAACGTCGCTGAGGAACCCTCCCCGGTGTCGCCTGCTGAATGGCATCGGATTGCCAGAAGTTTCTATTGGTATGAACACTACACAAGGCTCTTTTATCAAAGGCATCGGAAGCATGAGGGAAACAGGCATTTCCCGCGCTTTCGTCGGAACGACCAATTTCTCATATTCTTGAAGAGATTTTCCACAGAGGAATTAGAACAGCTAGCATGCGTTGGCGAATATCTGTATCGGGAGTTATCCAAGCGTGAGATCCCTTGTCATCTTCCTCGTCAGAGATCCACTGCTTATGCCCCGTTCAGCGTTCAACGAAGTTGCCGCACATGACGTGGAATGGGGTGCGTTCTCAGTCTGCTACATTGATAGGGAGGCATGGGAGGAGATCCAACCCAACAAGTACAAGAGACATTTGGTAAGTATAAGATTGTGTCTCCTAGCTCCCTTCATGCATTATGTCAACATTGCATGACAGGTCCGCTAATACAGTACGCAGATGACGTACAGTCTACCCTTTCTTCGCCGGGTCATCGTCGCAGAGACCTACGAAGAGCGTCGTCAATTGCTGGATTCAAACGTTGCTGCAGGCTCTTGGGACCTTCTTACCATTCTGAGATGTCTATTTTTTGGTTTCAGCGAGAGTGATGTCAGACTTGAGAATCCCCCCTCGAGACGAACTGAACGCTGATCTCCTAACTATAGGCGCAAGACTCGGATCCAGGTCCAGTTGAAGCGTGGCAATGGACACACCTCAGACTCGGTCCCCTGGACGGTGTGGGATGCCCGCGCATGCGCGACCTCCGCAAAAGGGGTTATGTCATGTGGGACCATTCGCGACTTGTAAACTGGGGGTTTTTCAGGTTTCAATGGCATCCAGCACCCAGAGAAGACTCGGACAGCAACGACGACGGCAGGGACGCTTTCAGAGAAGCGGTGATGATGATCCTGTCCTGGCAACGAAGAAGGGTGCTCTATGACCGAGGAGCAAGAGGATGGTGGAGCGAAGACGACGAGAGCAAGCTTGTCTGGGACGAGTCAGCAGAAGTGATATTGAATTAGCGTGAACTTGAACCAGAATGTATTGAATTAGCACAGAGTGACAGGAATCGCATCAGTTAGCATTCGAGATGGTTTTCTTATGCTATAAATCAAGTAGTAAAGCAAGTAGTAATATGACAGCGCTACACGAAAAATACTCACCAATTGGTCACTTATCTCTATGCATGCATACATACCTATCTATCTACACACCACCTTCAGATCTAGATCAGGCTAGGTAGTCCAGACCCTCATAGATGGTGATCTAAATCACAGTAACTACCCAGTTATCCGGTTTGAATATTTAATAACTTTACCTTCTAATGTTTAAGTTTCTGCTGATATAGTTATCTTATTACCTGGGAGGGAACACAATCTAACCAATGCTCATCATATTGGGCCGCTTTACACCTCTCCTTCCCCCGGTGAACCATTGATCACAATCACTCATTCCCTTTTTGAATGATTTTCTTCTTTTCTCCGATAACACCTTGGCAGGGGACAGGGTTGGGAAAGCAGTGATTAATTAATTAATCAATTAACAGCGTAAGCCTAAAGGAGTATCAGAGTGAAGAAACTTACAAAATAATCAGTTTTAGGGATCCCCTTCACAACCAGCCAGATTGCGGCTCTGCACGTATGCGAACCGCTCGCAGATAGATACACCGGTGTCTGTCAGCCACCTCCGAAAGGGGAGATAAGTGCTGTTTGTGCCTTTGTCCGTTGCATCGTCGTCTTCGTCATGACCGGTCTCATAGTGTTGGTTGGTCGTTTTGCTTTCCCTTTCCCATCGATTCGGACGGATCCCAGTGCATTGGTCTTTCGATCAGCAGGTCTCTCAATTGGACTTTTTTTTTCTTATCCCGACAATCCTGAAAGAATTTCATTCAATGGATCCTTGCCATCCATAGGCGATGATGCTTCCCTGAAACGAAAAGGATCCAATGGAATAAATACCGCAGGAGGTTGTTTGCTTGTTTGCTCGGATCTGTGAACTGCTAGCACCTGATTGACTACGACAGAGAAAAAGGACGAGAAATGCCAGGAAGAAT